CGCTAAGGAGGTGCTAATCTAGCCTCTGCCTGAGGCTACCCAGCAGGAGCCAGCTGTGACACAATGCAAGTTGCCCTGGGGCTTGGGCCAGCTGCAGATTGTTAGGTAATTATCAGATTGCAAAGGGCCAGGCCTTTCATATGCAAAAGTTTCCCTGCATGGCTTGGGTGGGGTGGGGTCCCAGGGGATCAACAGGGCGGAGAGAGCAGTTATGGCTACTCTCAGTCCTGCCCTCAGAGGCCCTGCTTCTCAGTGTCCCGGCAATCGCTGCAAGCACCCCCGAGAGAAAGCTGCCCTCGAGGAGTTCCGACCGATGCCAGACAGTCCAGTTTATCCTGTATGAGTCTGGGTCCCCGAGACTCGCCCGAACTGGAGCTCAGAGCTTGAGACTCCCTCCCGATTGAAAAAGAGAACCATGTCCTCAGGCGCCAGCTCTCTCTGCACGCGCCTCTGTACCTCTGTATTTTACTTCTGCACCGCACCTCCTCTGAGTCTCAGTATGTTTTTCTCTTTCCTTCTAGTTGTAGAATTTCCACTCAGCCAGCCTTCCTGTGGTTCTGGATGATGTCCATTGCGTCTTTTAGTTGTATTTTTGAAGGGGTTGTGCGAGGCAGCAATCTCCGGTGTTTACTTATGCTGCCATCTTGGTTTCTCTCGAATTTTTTTACATTAACACTAGCAATTCCACTTCTGGGTATGTATCCTAATAATCCAAAACACTAATTTGAAAAGATATATACACCCCTATGTTCACTGCAGCATTCTTTACAATAGTCAAAATATGGAAGCAACCTAAGTGTCCAAATGGATAAAGAAGTGGTGCATGTATACAATGGAATGAATATTACTCAACAGTAAAAAAAAGAATGAAATCTTGCCATGTGCTACAACATGGGTATTATGCTATTAGGTGAGTCAGACAGAGAAAGACAAATACCGTGTTATTTCACATTTATGTGGAATCTAAAAAAAAAAATGAACAAATAAGACAGAAACGATACAGAGAACTGATAGTCTCCAGATGGGAGGTGGGTTAGGGAGATCTTGTTGAAAAAGGAAATAGGGATTAAGAAGTACAAATTGATAGTTATAACAATAGTCATGCAGATATAAAGTACAGTATAGGGCAGCTGTGGGCAAACTACGGCCCGTGGGCCGGATCCGGCCGTTTGAAATGAATAAAACTATTGAAAAAAAAGACCATACCCTTTTGTGTAATGATGTTTACTTTGAATTTATATTAGTTCACACAAACACTCCATCCATGCTTTTGTTCCGGCCCTCCGGTTCAGTTTAGGAACCCATTGTGGCCCTCGAGTCAAAAAGTTTGCCCACCCCTGGTATAGGGAGTACCTTATATAATAAAAGCCTAATATGCTAAGTGTCCAACTGTTAGTTTGACCGTTCGACCAGTCGCTATGACGTGCACTGGCCATCAGGAGACAGACACTCCAACTGGTAGGTTAGCTTGCTGCTGGGGTCCGGCCAGTCAGGACTGGGCAAGACAGTCCTGGGCTGGACATGCCCTGAATGAATCAGTGCACAGGGCCGTTTCTGCCCGAGCCCCACAGGACAGGCTGAGGGACCCCACCAGTGTACGAATCCATTCACTGGGCCTCTAGTGGTTAATAATGTAGATATTAAGAGATGTCCAAACCTGTAGAGAATTTTTATGAGTTTATTTGAGCCAAACTGACAGCATATGCTGGGGAATAGGATCTCAAATGCTCCCAAGTATAACAGTACAGCAGTTTCTTTTTTTTTGCTTCTTTTAAAAAAAATGTATTTCTGATTTCAGAGAGGAAGGGATGGGGGAAGAGAGAAATATCAATGATGACAGAGAATCACTGATTGGCTGCCTCTTGCATGCCCCCTACCGGGAAATGAACCTGCAACCCAGGCATGTGCCCTTGACCAGAATCGAACCAGTCCACAGGGCGACGCTCTATTCACTGAGAGAAACTGGCTAGGGTTGCAGTTTCTTTTATGCATCTGAAATTAAGGAGGGAAAAGGGAACATTTCGTGAAGGTGGGAGAAAGCAAGGCATACAGGAATTGGATTATAGGATAGTTAAGATTATTTGCTTTCTCTCGAGAATGGTTAAGTCTTAGTCTGAAAGGGTGGCTCATGCATTAGAAGGATGGGTCTATTAAAAAAAAAGGAGGAGGATGGGTCTAAAAAGAGGCATTTCTAAGGTGTGTGAACCTAGATATAAAAACAATGGTTGGGCTTGCTTACAGCAAAGATAAACCCATTACTAAAGTCAATATATTCCTGGGACATGACTACTCCCACAATGACCTGTCCAGTTAGGAATTTATGATCAGATCACCCTGTGTGGTTACTTCCCATAAAGCCCTCTTTTTTTGGTCCACAATTCAGAAGGTAAATAAACGTATTATCACTATATTATACTAGTACTAGAGGCCTGGTGCACAAAAATTTGTGCACTGGGGGGTGGGGGGTCCCCTCAGCCTGGCCTGTGCCCTCTCGCAGTCTGGGACCCCTCGGGAGATAACGACCTGCTGGCTTAGGCCTGCTCCCAGGTGGCAGAGGGCAGGCCTAATCCCTAGGTGCAGCCCCTGGTCGGGCTCAGAGCAGGGCTGATTGGGGAGTTGGGGAGCTGCCCCCTGTCATGCACAGAGCAGGGCGGATCGGGAGTTTGCAATGCCACCCTCAGTCATGCTCAGGGTAGGGCCAATTGGGGGGTTGGGGCACCGCCCCGTCACACTCAAGGCAGGGTCGATGGGGAGGTTGCAGCGCCACCCTGTCACTCACAGAGCAGGGCCCATCAGGGGGGTTGGGGCTCCGTACCCTGTCACGCACAGAGCAGGGACGATCAGGGGGTTGGGGCACTGCCCCCTGTCACACACACAGCAGGGCGGATCAGGGGGTTGGGGCGCCACACCCTGTCAGACTCAGGGCAGGGCCGATGGGGAGGTTATGACTCTACCCCGTCACACACAGAGTAGGGCCCGTGGGGGCAGTTGGGGCGCTGCCCTCTATCACCCACAGAGCAGGGCCAATCAGGGGGTTGGGGCACCGCACCCTGTCACACACAGAGCTGTAGGGCGATCAGGGGGTTGGGGAGCTCCCCCCTGTCAGGCACAGAGCACGGCTGATCAGGGGGTTGGGGTGCCTTCCCCTGTCACGAACAGAGCAGGGCGGATAGGGAGGTTGTGGCCCCGCCTGCTGTCACACACAGAGCCACAGGGCGATCAGGGGGTTTGGGCACTATCTCCTGTCACGCTGATCCCGGCGCTGGGAGGCATATTACCCTTTTGCTATATAGGATAGAGGCCTGGTGCATGGGTGGGGGCCAGCTGGTTTGCCCTGAAGGGTGTCCTGGATCAGGGTGGGGGTCCCCACTGGGGTGCCTGGCCAGTCTGGGGGAGGGACTGAGGGCTGTTTTCAAGCTGGCAGGTGACTGAAGCTCCCAACTGCTCCTTTTTTTCTTTTCTTTTTTTATTTTCTTCTGGGCCAGCTTTAGCTCTGAGGCTTGGTTCCAGCTCTTAGGCCTCAGCTGCTGAAAGCAGGTACCTGGTTTGTTTGGGTTCTATAATCAAAACACTGTTTCAACTCCAGCTCTGAGATCCCGGCTGGCTGAAAGCAGGTTTCTGGGATTTTGTTTAGCTTCTATATTTGTAACAATGTTTCAAACTGCAAGCTCAGAGGCCGGCAGCGGCAGGCGGGGAACGTTGGAGTCCTCCGTCACTGAAGCAAGCAAGCCTCCTGTTCGCTTCAAGCTGCCTGGCTGCCGGCCACCATCTTGGCCGGCAGTTAATTTGCATATCACCCTGATTAGCCAATGGGAAGGGTAGCGGAGGTACGGCTAATTACCATGTTTCTCTTTTATTAGATAGGATACCTAGAATGAATATAATAATGTATGTCAACTATAATTTAAAAATACATTAAAATGTATTTAAATTAAAAAAGGGGGCAACTTTTGCTTAGAAGCCCAATTGTAACTTTAGAACAAGAGAAGCTGGACAAACTGAAAATTAATGACACCTTTGGACCCATCAGAGAACTAACGTTACAGGGCAAACTGCCACCCAAACCTGGAGAGATACAGCTGAGATATGCTTACCTGGAGCAAACGCTGCTGGAGCCATAAACTTGTGCTGGAGTTGGGTGTGAACTGGCATGAGCGTTAGAAACTCCAGAATGCAGTCCTGGGGGCTGGCACACTTCTGTGGGCTTTATCTCCAGGAACCCCACCAGGTCCTCAAGGTGAAGGTGAAGATCCCAGAAAGATCCGCTGGTGAATGCCGGCGCCGGCAACGCAAGATCCCGGCCTTCTGAAAGAGTAACCACTGTGAAACAAGCCCAAAGCCTTCTCCATAAAAATGGTTGGTCTGGCCCTGCCAAGGCAAACTCTGGAAGGACTCAAAATTCCATAATCTAGGAGCTTTATTCATAGCAACATAAATTTATATTAAGTGGATTATATTAAGCGGATGATGTTATAAATATCCAAATAGCCCTTGGCAGAAAAAAGGTTTCCCACCCCTGACTTATCGGAAGATTGGGAACTCTGTAGCTAGGAAAGGGAGTAGGTTGCAAGAAGGAAAAGCTACACTTTGGAGAACCCTTGTGAAGGACACAGGCTGACGCTTAATTGGAAGGTTACGGAACTCTTACACTTCCTCTTGCTTTACCACCAGAACAACAGTAAAATACACATTCTTCTCTAACCCACATTCACCACTGTTTACTACATTCTGGGCAATAAAACATACTTTAACAGGCATAAAAGATTAGAAATCACACAAAGTATGTTCTTAGACACAATGAAATTAAACTAGAAATCAATAACAACAACAAAAACCCAACCCTCAGATATCTGGAAATTAAAGCCTGGAGAAGTTAAAAATATTTTGAACTGAAAACAAAATTTTTTGAACTGAAACTATAACATCAAAATTTATGGGATGCAGCAAAAGGAAAAATTAGAGGAAAATTTATAGCATTAAATGCTCATATTAGAAAATAAGAAAGATCTGAAGTCAATAACCTAAGCTTCCACCTTAGGAAACCAGAGATAGAAGACCAATTTAAGCCTAAGGCTACCAGAAGAAAATAAACAGAAGCCTAAAAAATTTTAAACAGAAAAAATAAAGAAGAGAGAACAGTCAATGGAATCAAAAGCTGGTTCTTTAAAAAGATCAATAAAATTGACAAATCTCTAGGCAGGCTGCTGTACAGACAGACAGACCTGAGCAGAGCAAGAACGATGGTCAGATACGGGGAAGGTCACCAGGATGGAAAGCCCCAGGTGCCTACCAATGAACAATTAATTGTAGGGTGGGCCCTCACCCCCAGGGTGCCTTTTCCTCCCATACTACAATGATGGTCATGCAGTTTGAACTCTGTGACCTTTCCTCCCTAGAGATAACATCTATGTCTCAGATGGATTTCAGCTCCAGGCCCAGATAAACAACAAAACCAGCCATGGATGACATCAGGACCAGCTGCATTGAGTAACAGGTCAGTCAATCAGTGGAGACCACAACCCTGACAGGACACACCTGGAAAACTGCTGAATATTCTATTAAGATCTTTCCCTGGGACCCTCCCCTAAAACCTCTGCCCTTAAAACCCTTCGGACAGAGGGCTCAGTGTGCTCTCCCTCCAGGGAGCATGTCCCTGCCTTTCCCTTTCCTGGCCTGACCCCTCCAGGCCCCAGGCATATTACTATTAGCTTCCTCACTCCCAAGCTCCAAGGGCCCTTCCTTTACCTCTACAACTTCTAAGACCATTTCTTCAAGGAATTACTTTTTCTACCTCAGTAATTTACCCAATAAATGTTCTCTTACAATTTGGGTCTGGACTCTGAATTATTTTCTAGTCAGAACCCAAGTACTGAGGTTGCAAAACCCAGGTTTGGTTTGACCCCACCAGTCAAGACACCTGCTGCTGGTTCCTGCCGCCTACCACAAGGCTACCCACTCATTACCCCGCCTTCCCCAGAAGGGGGAGAAGATACAATTTACCAGCATCAGAAATGAATGGAACATCACTAATGTTCACATGAATTAAAAGTATAATAAAGAAATTGGTGCACTTTGAAAGGAACTGTGGGCCACGAGGCTGCGGTAGGCACAGGGGCGGGTCTTGGTCCATCCTCTGTGCCCCCACCGGGTCCCTCCCATCACCCGCCCCCCATTTCTGCTGGTAGCCCCGTTCCTGCCGCCGCCCCCACGCCACCGCTCCATGCACTAACGCCAGCCCCACTCACACCTGCTGATGGCACGGAGCAGGGGGAGGTGGAGAAGCTCTCAGGGGCGACCAGGGCTGGCAGCCGCAACTTACACCTGCTGATGGCGCCAAGTGGTTTGGACTGGCACCAGGCACCTGCAGCAGGTGCAAGCGGCGGCTCCGGCGCTGGCTGTGGGTGCAAGTGGGGCCAGCACCAGGAGCAGGTGCAAGCGCTGGCCAGGACCACGGTACACAGGAGCAAAGAATTTTCAGTAACCACCAGAAGCTCGCCCTGATGACAGTGATGGGTGCCCTGCCTTGGTCTGGTGCTCCCACTCACCTGCTCCACCATCCCGCCATGACCAACACCTGCCATGTTCCGCACACGCCCTCTGGTGGTCAGCACACATCATAGCAACCGGTTGTTCAGTTGTCCTGCCGTTCAGTCTATTTGCATATTAGCCTTGTATTATATAGGATGTTAATCATGCTCTGTTAACCATGATTGCCTTGTGTTGGTTAAAGAAAGAACATTTTTACCTGGCTGGGAGTTGTACGCCCCCAGGACCTTGGGGAGTCAACCTTGGAACCATTCTCATTCAAGAACTGCCTATTATCATGGAAAGGTTAACAACCTTGGTGCCCAAACAGTAAGAGTCCCACCCCAGTCTCTTACTTCCCCATGCCTGTAATCCCTACTTCCCTATGTAATCCTGGTCTATCCTATACAAGCAGCTGGCTTATGGGAGGTGCAGAGCAGATTTTCATGGATGACCTGCTGCTCTCCCATACTGCCAGCCAGATTGGAATAAATGCTCATATATGATGCAACCCTGTCTCTGCCTCATTGGCTCAAGTAGTGACAGGGAGCAAGGACCCACTGATTGTCTGGTTACAGAAACAGTTCTATGCCTACAAGTATAACTTAAGATGAAATGAACCAACTCCTTGAAACTACCAAAACTCACACGAACACCTGCACACCAAATATTTATAGCAGCTTTACTCATAATTGCCAAGACTTGGGAGCAATCAAGATGTTCCTCAAAAGGTGAATGGATGGCCCTAGCTGGTTTGCTCAGTGGTTAGAGTGTTGGCCCTCAGACTGAAGGGCAGTGGGTTTGATTCCTGGTCAAGGGCACATACCTGGGTTGTAGGCTTGGCCTGGTCAGGGCACTTGCTGGAGGCAACCAATCCATGTGTCTCTCTCACATTGATGTTTCTCTCTCTCTCTCTCTAAAAATCAATAGAAAAATATTCTCGAGTGAGGATTAACAACAAAAAGACAAAAACAAAAAACAACAAATGAACAAACAAACATAGATCTAGACAGGAGGAAAAGAGGTGGGAGGAAAAAAAGAGTAAAGGGAGTCAAATACATGGATACAAGAGACTAGACCTTGGGTGGTTAGCACGCAGTTCTATATACAGATGATATTATAGAACTGTACATCTGAAACTTATATAATCTTATTAACCAATGTTACCCTAATAACTTTAATATTTAAAAATGAGACATAGTAAAGTTCATGAGGGAAATGCGGAAGATGGCTGCGTATGGGAAGGCAGGCTGCAAGATAGTGTGTGAGAGAACGAAAGGAGAGTGTGTGAACGTGCGGGGAGTGTCTATTTGTGAGTGAGAGATAGCTATATTCCCAGGAACTGTTGGGGACAGCCGGACCAGGCAGCCTCTACTGCTGCTGAAATCTCTCCCAGAGTGACTGGCTCTGCCACAGAGGTTGTGCCATCTTGAAGGGGAGAGTGGCTGTGATGGGAAGTCCAGCCTTACCTTCAACCGGGAAGAACTCGGATACCTCCCGGGGCCCTACAACCACCCAGGGATCAGCTGCAAACCCACAAACACTGGTTCCCAAGCAGCGCAGAGCGGACGAGCCCTGCATCTTCTCATGGAAAGGTCAAACTTCACCTAGACTAGAGAAAGGTGAGGTCTGCGATCCAGGCTGGAGGGAGAAACACGCACAGTGGGATCTAGAGGTTCAGAGGAAGTCTGTGCCCCAGAAAATCCGTGGCCATTGGGGTCAGCATAGTCCATGAATGTGGAAGGGGGTCCATGGGGCTGCTGGCAGAAGGGAACTCTAGAAATCAACCCATTGCTGGGATGGGCACAGAAAGGAAGCCTGAAGCTCTACTAGTGTACCAGCTGCACTGTGCCAGGGGGGAAAAAGACATGTGCAGAGACGTGCACAGAGTTGCACGCACTGTGGGGCGGGGGGGAGGTCACGAGTCTGTGTGCTTACTCTGGCTCTCTTTTCCCTTTAAATCCTTGCTTTTGATTACTAGGCCAGTACATATGATCTCCCAATTAAAAACATTCTCAGAGACTGCAGGGGAAAGTTGTTTTTGTGGAACCTGGAAATCAGAGTGGGGAGAAACGAACAGAAAACCAGTTCTGGGGCCGTCCATTCCCCCAACCTAGTATTAAGTGAAAACAAAATCTAAATACTGGGCAGAGAGGACTTATAGCCCAAGATGTCAATACACTAACACTGCCACCCAGAGGCTGAATCACAAATTGACTTTTATATAAATACAACTAAAGGCAGGCTGAGAAACAAAGAAATACTGCCTGCTTGAAAACAGGATTGTGGCTTATGACACAGAGAAGCGGTGGAATGCAGGGAACTTCAATACTGTCCTGATTACATGACAGGAAACAGGCGTGCCAAAAGGAACAGTAGAGGAAGTGAATGACCTTCACTACTGCAAATTTTTATTTTTTAATCTTTTACTTAAGAAACTACATTTTTTCTTTTTTTCTCACTTGATTTTACCTTTTTAATTATTATATTTTTATTCTTAATCAGTATTATTACTATTATTTTACCATCTCTTAAAAGTTTCATTTTATTTTCTCTTTATTTTATTTTATTTTGGGATTAGTGTTCTACAGTCTATTTTCATTTTTCCTTTAGCATCATTTTACTCTATCTCAACTTTACCTTTATGCCAACACTCTCTTCCTCACTTTTCCCCTTTTGTTGTCCTGTTTCTCTTACGCTATTTCTGCTTTAGATATTCCTTATTCTTTCTTTTTACCCCATTAAAAATTCATCCTATTTATATATCTAATTTCCACT